CGCCAGGGGGCTGGGATGTTGGGTGAGAGACCGTGAGGCCCTTCCGTGGCTGCTAGGCGTACCGTGCAGCCCCAGCCCTGTGACTGCGCGGGCAGGACAGGCCGCAAGGCCACGGCCCGGAGCCCTGGCGTCGCTGTGTCGCTGCTCCAGGGCCACTGCAGCCTTTCCTTGTTGAGAGAAATAGTATCCTCCGCTTCAGGCCCTGTGAGGGGTAGCTGTTACCTGCAGGCAGCAACACCTAGAAATAGTGCGCCTGGGATCGCTGGCCCTTAGGAACGTTGCTATTAGTGCTGGTTCACTTTATGCACTGAGGGCTCCAGTCTGGCGTTTCCGCGTGTGCACGCATTTGATCTCCATCCTCCCTGTCAGCGACCCCGTTCCCTTCCTCTTCTCTAGGCAGCTCCTCCCTTTTACTGCCCTATCCTTTTATTTGAATGCCACATTTTAGGGCATTAGGACATTAGGGACAACGTGTGACCCCGTCTGAGTCCGGCTTATTTTGCTTTACCTAATGATCTGCAGTTCCATTCACCTTCTTTTCTTCTCTTTTTTTCCTTTTTTGGTACCAGGACTCAAACTTGGGACCCAGCACCACACAGCTCATCCCCAGCCCTCCACGCATTCTCCTTGTGACACTCCACCATGGTTATACCCACGCTGTCTTTCTCCATTTGTCTGCTGACGAGCCCCTGGGCTGTTTCCCACCGTGGCTGAGCTGTGCGGCAGGACACACAGCCAGGCAGGCCCCGAGCACGCTCGGGCTTGATTCCATCTGGCTAGGCACCAAGTACTGTCGCAGTAGGCACAGTCCTGGCTTTAGCTTTCTCAGGAACCTGTCTCGATTTCCACAGCAGCCGTACAACTTCCATTCCCCCAGCAGTATCACCTCACCCATTCTCACGAATATTGATTGCTTCTTGGGTATTTTTGTTTTGTCTTTATAAGCTAGGGTCTCCCTATGCAGTTGAGGCTGGCCTTGAGCTCACTTTGTAGCCCAGGCTGGTCTTGAACTCACTGCAGTCCTCCTGCTGCAGCCTCCTGAGTGCTGGGACTACAGGCATGCGCCACTGCGCCCAGCTTACTTCTTGCATTCTTGATGGCAGCCATTCTAACTGGGCTCACAAATTCCCAGTGTAGTTTTGATTCACACTCCCCTAGTGGCTAAAACTGTTGCTGGGGGTATAGTTCAGTGGCACAAGTGCCTGCCTGGCAAGCACAAGGTCCTGAGTTCAATTTGAAATAAAAAAGTTGAACATTCTTCATACACTTATTGGCCATTTGTACTTCTCTTGGCAAGTTTCTGGTATCTTCATTTGCCCATGTACTGATTGGGCTATTTGATTTTTTAGTGTTTCTTCAGTTCTTCATATTCCAGACATTATTTCTCTCATTTCATAGTCTCCCTTACTCTGTCGGGAGTTTCCCTTGGTGCAAGGTTTTCTTTCCTGTAGCCCCATTTGTTGGTTCTTGCAACTACTTTCTGTACCCCAGGTCCTATCCCAGAAGTCCTTGCCTATGCCTGTAGCTCTGAGTGTTCTCACTGTTTTCTCCTAGTTTCAAAGTTCCAGGTCTCATACCCAGCCCTTTGCTCCGTTTTGCGCTGAATCTTGCTCACTATGCATGCCAGGCCGGCCTTGAACTCATACAGGTCCCCCTGTCCCAGTCTCTTGAATGCTGGGATCACAGGCATGTACCACATCTGGTTTGCTTATGATTGATTTGGCTATTCTGGGCATTTTGTGTTTCCACGTGAAATTAGGGATTGTTTCTTGTCATGCTGTGAAGAGCGCCACTGGAATTCTGAGGAGCACTGGACCGAATCTCTAGGTCATTTGTGTCACTATCGCCACTCTAATGTCATTCATTCTAACACATGAGCGTGGGTGGCTTGTCTACATCTTCCACTTCTCTGTTCAGCTTTCTGTAATGTTCACTGCTGAGGAATTTCACCTCCTTGGTTAAGCTGATGTCTAGGTAGTTTATTTTTGGAAGCTATTGTGGGTTAACTGTTTTTCTGATTGCTTAGCTAACTCATTATCAGTGTAGACAAAAGCTGCTGACTGGCATGGTGCTAGATGTCCTGCACTAGCTCCCCGAGTGTTTTAGCTGACATCCCACCACTGACCACTCCTCCTACACCCCACAGCAGAGGCTGGTAGAAGTCCCGTGGAGCACAGGAAGCCACTAACCAAGAGTGACCCGGTCCTTGTCCAAGTACTCGGTGTGTTTTTCTGAGCCAGTGGTTCAAGTGTTGGGTTGCATGAATGAGGTCTTTTGGTTAACCTTGAGACGTGAACCAGTTGGGGCCTGGCCACAGGCAGGGTTCAAGAGTCTAAGGTGACAGAGGCTCCATATGTGTTCTGGGTGCCCCACCCCCACCCATGCATAGGCTACTCACAATCAGCACCTTCTTCTGGCGTGGTGCAGCTGCTACCCCAAGGGCCCTGTGGGGTCCCCAGCTTGCCCTGGCTGTGCTTGATGCTGTGCATGCTACGGGTCTGGACAAATGCACAACCACATCTGCAGTGTTACAGCACCATCCAGGGATACTCCACACTCCTAAAACACCTAGCTATATATGTTCCCACTGAGTGATAAGCCAGACTTTTTCTTACATCATTAAATATTTGCCAAAAATGAAGATTGGGATGGCCACGTCAGCAGCAGCTGAGGCGCTGTCGAAGAGCCAAAGCGCCTCCTCTTCAGGTCTGTGGCGGCTCAGCGGGAGGGCACACCCAGCTCAGCTGAGTCAACGTGGTTCTTGGTGTGGAAGCACTGCCAACAGTGTCACAGCAGAACGGAGGGGGACAGAGAGCTGTGCAATCTCCTGCAGATGGCTGTGGCTCTCTGCAGGAGAGCTCTGGTCCTTACCTTGAGCGTCGCTTCCCGGCTCCAGGGCAGATCCCTCAGCCCGCGGCTGCACAGACCCTTCACCCCGCTGGCGCAGACTTTCTAGCTCCCACCCCTGCCCTTCGGCCTTCCCAGTGCAGAGCCTTGGTGCAGGCTTTCATGGGACATCGCCATGGGCGCTGAGCCTCCCCCTGGACTTGCGCAGGACCTTGCAGTGGGATGCAGGCCCTCGGCTGGGTTCTTTGGGTCTCCAATGTATGGATAGTATTTTGTTTTGGTATTTTTTGGTGCAGGGTCTTACTACACAGCTCTGACAGTGAGCCTCCTGTTTTCAGCCTCCCCCGCGCTGGGATTACAGGCCTGTGCCACCACACCCGGACTCTATCACCGGCTCAGTGCACCTGGGCGCGGGGCCGGCACAGCATGCGGTGCCAGGGATCGGACCCTGGCCCCTGCGCTTGCCTAAGCAAGCACTTAGTCTGCTGAGCTACCTCGCGGCCCTGGATAGATCGCGAGCGCTTCTATATTGGACTTTTTGGGTGATTATAAAAGCCCTACAAATTGTGTACTGTATCCTATTCCCTTGCAAACCCTGACTACAAGGTTCCTTGCCATTCAGGCACTGGGGCTATCTGCTCCCAACCCAGCAACTGTTCACTTTTCCCACAGCTGGGCCAATGGGTTAGGCTTCTGCTCCAGCCAGCGTCTGCCGGAAGTCCTCCCCTGCTCAGGTCACTGACCTGGGCTTTTGTGTGCTCTAAGGTCGCGCTGAACAAAGCAGGTCTTGAATCTGCCTCCAGTCTGCCCATGTGTCCCCAGTGGCTGATCCAATTTGATAGTTGTGCAAGTAGTAAATCCGTGTTCCAAAACTGACCCGCCCCCGGATGTGCAAGGCCTCCCACTTTTTATCCCCATGGTGGTTTGTGTTCCCACAAAACTTGGGGGCGTCAGGGAGCGCCTGTTCCCGGGCGTGGACACCAGGGGGCGCACACCTCAGTTCCTTGCTTGGCGCCTTCTGGTAGAGGCACATGGGGTGGGCAGGAGGAATGGCCGCATGACAGGCCATGCCCCACTGCGCTTCACTGCCAGTAACACCAGCTTGACCCCCACAGCAATGAATGTTCCACAGACATTTCCGTGAGATGCCAGGTAGGAGACTATGGAGCCTGAGGCCCGATACAGGCAGTGTACTTCTGGTGTACTTCAAACCCAAGGCGTTGCAGGTGACACTGACCCGAAATCCCTGCACTCTGGAGGCTGAGGGAGGGGCACTGCAGGTCGAGCCCCAGCCCAGCAACTCAGAGACTTGGCAAGACCCTGTCTCAAAACACTAAGAGGACTGGGGATGCAGCTAAGAGCAAAGGTCCTGCATTCAGCCCCCAGTACTGAAAAAACAGGACAACAAGAAAAAACCCCAAAGGCTTGACAACTATGGCGGCCAAGGCCCAGGTGCCCACACTGAAGCCCACCACCTACTTTGGGCCGCTCAGGGCCATGAGACCTAGATGCCCACTACAGAAGTGGGGATGGGTTAGCAACTCAGATGCCAACGTCCTCCAGAAATCCGGGGACCAGCTGTCAGAGCACCTCCCGCAGCCTGCCCTGACAACATGGATGTGGATCCGCTATAGGCAAACAGCGCCAGAGGCCAGGAGGCAAGGCATATCAGAATGGAGAGCAGGGGGTGCTAATTACAGCCTCAAGGGCTTGGGGTGGGGAATGTGGGCAGTAACTTGCTGACCTCAGCTGGGTGTGGTGGCACACGCCTCCACTTCCAACACTCTGGGAGGCTGAGGCAGACAGATCCCAAGTTCCAGCCCAGCCTGGGCAACTTGGCTGCTTAGCTAAAACCTGACTCAAACTAAAATAAAAAAACGTGGAGGCTGCGGCGCAATGCTAGGCCCCTGCCTGGTTTTGATCCTCCCTACAGGATGCTAGATAGCTGCCTTGCAGGAGTGAGTGTCCCGGCGAAGAGCAGGAAGCAACGTGCGCAGGTGGGAGGTGGGCCTGCAGGCAGGAGATGGATGCGCAGCCGCAGTCTGATGAGAACGCAGGCAGGTCCAAGGCGCCGACGACACAGGGACCCCAAGACCACAGGCCCCGGTTCCACAAGGAGGCATGCACATGGGTATGAATGAATGCCTTTTAATGGTTCGTCTTTTTTTATTTTTTCCCAAAAATTGGTAATAAAAATACATGGAATTTCAGGAGTCACAGTACAGTGGGCAGTGACAGAGTGGAACAGGACAAGGTGTGAAGCACGGTGCTCCACTGGGCAGGGTTCACCCCGGGAAGCTGACACAATGGCCTGCATCCCAGCTGCCTGCCGCCGTCTGGGTGGCGGCAGACTGTGAGAAACACTCATGTGAAGCAGAAATATACCCGAGCACAATGCCTGCCGCGCCCCCACCCTTCTGCACCTTCGTCACACAAGGGTGGGATGAGGACGCTAGCTGATTCGGGGTCCCTAAAGTGGCCCAGAAATGGACTCTGAAGCTACCACTGGTGCTGCAGGCGTTGGGGTGACAGAGGGGCCATGAGCACTGCAGCAGGGGGCCCGATGTCCCCAGCTCAGTGAGGACACAAGGCACGGGCAGCACTGACGAGCGCACCCTGCCCAAACCCTGCCTGCCACAGTCACTCTTCAACAGAAAAAGTCAAAACCTCCTGGTTTTTGAGTAAAAATCCTTCACATCCACCTGTGTTCAAAAATAATTTAGGATATCAACAGCTTCCTTGATGAAGCGAACACCACAGAGCCTTTACAGTAAGTGCAGAAAGGCATACTTCCTACAAGGGAGAAACACGTGTGGCCCCAAGCTGTGGCCTGCGTTTCCAGCTAACCCAAACCGCCGAACAGAACCAGAAAGTTTGGAGCAAGGCAAGCATTTCCCGTTGTGGTTCAGCTCACGCACACAATGCAGAACGAGCACCCAGGGCGACGTCAGACCAATGGAGGGTGGGAAGTGGCTGTGCTGCAGGCTGCAGACCCTTCCTAAACGGATGGCCAGATGGGTGCAGTGACAGCTAGTGATGCCGCCGAGTAGTCCGGCACTCAAGCCCATGTGGCGAGTCCCCGCCTGCCGTCCTTGTGTTGGAGCCCAACTTATTCATGGAGGCCTTGCTGGACAGGCCAAGACAGCAGGACCTGTTCATCTCAGGGCTCTGTCTCTTGTGCAACGCCACACAGGTTCCAAGTAGGCTGAGCCACACAGCCCGACCCCGGCAGGATACATTAGCCACGGTTTGCACCTGGACAGAAGCGACCTCTGACATTGTCACTGCAGGCGTCACTGGCCCCAGGGAGAGAAAAGGAGAATACGATCAACGCGGGACAGCTCGTGGACAAGCAAGAGGCCAAGTGGAGCTGGCGTGGCAGCGTTCCGTCACCGCCCACCCTCAGGCTTGAGGCTGGTGACTTCATGGACGCACCCTGTGGTGCCTGCCACATGCCAGCTGCGAGTCTATGCGACCCCAGTGTGATGCTGCCTCCTTCCACCACACCTCCTGCCCTCGAGATCGAGAGCCCGGTGTGGCCAGCGGGCACCCGATGCTGCCCGGAGGCAGGCGGCAGCACCCACACTGGGGGCTTAACCTCAGCAGCCGGACTGGAGGATGCTGCCCCCGGAGCGCTTGGTCACTGACAGCGTGGTGAACACCTGTGGAGAAAGAGAGACAGTTTCAGACCCCAAGCAAACGAGGGAGTCACTTAGGTGACCAAGTAAAATGGGTGAAACAGAGAAACATACAACTATTGGGTATCAGGGAGACACAGGAAAATCTAGATCAAGAGAGAAAACTCCGGTGGTATCTGAAGAAGGCTGCGAGCATGGGGAGCTTGAAAACTCAAGCTACCCCAGGTGGCAGCCGACTCCAGGAACCCACTGGGAAACCTGGGACACCAGACGCTCTCCTCAAGTGCCCCACACCCACTGGCCTGAGGGCTCCCCAGTCCGCCCAGTGCTGCTGAGGTGACCCTGGCCGTGCCGCGTCCCCTGGGGGCCCTCCTCAGGCAGAGCCGCTGCAGGATGCTGGCCACAACCTGAATGCTCCACTCTTTCTAGCGGCTGCTTTGCAATCAGTTCTTAAGTCTGGCTCATTGTGGGGCTCTTCTGCCAAACGGATGTCACCTCCTTGGAACACAACCTCACTGCAAGTCCCTATGATGATACCCATGGCCCCTGAGGCTTGAGACTGGTCAAGTGTAACACGTGCAGGCTGCTGCGGCCTGGACCCGCATCCCAGGGGTCGCACCTGGCTGACCCTCCCACCAGCCAGGCCTTCACTCCCCTGAGCAGCAGCATGGAGTTCTGGGCACAGGGTTGGGCAAGGAACAAGCCTTGGCTACAGGACCAAAGCAAGCACGAGGAGCCAGGCCCACACCCGCCTCTAGCCTGGGAACCCCATCCGTGGCGCCTGGGTATGAACCCGGGAGAGCGTTCTGCCCCCCAGCCCTCCAACAGCTCAATTTGGGGGTGAGAAAGGCCACACTGCAGCAGTGCGTCACTCTCACAAAATGCCCAGGCTGCAGATTCACAAGAAAAGATGCTTCTAGCTCCTAGTGCTGGAGGTCCAAAGCTCAGCATGGGGATGGCCATCAGCCACTGGGTCACAAGGTAGCACAGGGCACCCCATGGCAACAGACAGGGTGGCTGGGGGGGGGGTCCTCTTTCACCCTTCTTTGGGCGCTGCCGGGACCCATTTGATATTTGATGGTATGGTCCCACCCTGGTGGCCTGATCTCGTTCTACCCATTCCAGAAGCCCTGACTGCACCCCCAGGCCAGATGGTGCCCCACCCTCTTACAGGCTTGCAGCGGGGCTTAGCACCAGGGAACACTTGGACCGCAGCAAGACCTGGGCAGCATCAGGGAGCACCTGTGCCTGGCCACCCAGCCCAGCTCGTGGCCAGCAGCCCCATTACTGGTTCCTGGAGCACAGTGAATTTCCCAGTTCAGTATGGATAGGAATGAACACAGGAAATCACTGGCTTACACAGGCCACAGCAGCTGGAAGCATCCCACAAAGACTTCTGGCTGAGTGTGGTGGTACGTGTGGAGCCCCAGCACTCTGAAAACCGAGGCAGGAGAATCCCAAGTTCTGAGCCCAAGCTGGGCAGATTAACAAGAACTTGTCTCAAAATAAATTTTTTGAAAAAAAAAAAATAATTTTTTGTTTAAAGCAGGGTCTCATTATAATTTATTTATTTTGGGGTGCTGGGGATTGAACTCAGGACACTGTGCTTGCCATGCAGGGGCTTATGCCAATGAGCTACCTTCCCAGCCCTAGGGTCTCATGAAATGCTTCATCCTTCTGAATTACAAGAACTACAGGCCCATGCCACCAGCCCCAGCTTCAAAAGTAATTTTGCAAAGCTAAGGGTGTGCTTCAGTACAAGGGCCCTGGGCTCACCCCCAGGACCACAAACCAAATCAGACTAAACAATGACACAGTTCTCAACAAAATGGAAATACTTTTGTACAAGGGAGGAACAACACTGAGGAAGCCTTTAGCCTGTTTCAGTCTTAAAGCCAAGGCTTTTGTTGGCCCCACAACCAGTACAGCATCAGCACTGTCCGACAAGAGTGATTAAGCACAGTATCTTAAAACACGCACCCAGAAGAAAAAACAGCACGGCAATTCACATTCCCCAAATAGTAATTATAGCAAACCAAAAAGAAGGGGCGGGGGGGGGGGGTGATTAGGGCCGGCCAGATGGCCAGGGTTCAATCCCTGGCATGCCATGCCAGTCCCGCCCCGGGACGTGCTGAGACAGTGGGACTGGCGTGGTGCGCGCCTATAATCCTAGCACTTGGGAGGCTGAACACAGGTGCACTACTAGTGCGATCTAGTAGTGAGACCTTGTAGACCCCTGTACTAAATACAGAGAAGAAAAGGCGTCGTCCTGGCTGGCAAAGTAACAGACCCTTGAGGGACGCGTCCCTTTTATACTTACTGCAGAAAAATCCATTCTCACTGAATCTGCAGCACCCTCACTAGCACTCAAACCCCACGACGCCAAGGGCGGCACCGTAAACGCTCTCCGCGGAGCAGCATAATCTCTTTGTCTAAAATACATGTGACTTGTAGATGAGAGAGGGGACGATGCAGGATAAGGCCCCCAGAACGCAGGGCAGCATGACATGTCACTGACAACATGCTTCCTTTCAATTTCTCTGAGGAAGGAAACTGCAAGCGAGGGAGGGGATCCGTGTCAGCACACTCCAGGCTGGTGGCTTTGCCAGCGTCTATTCTACTTCTCAGGAAGAGAATGAGAACTCTCCCATCCAGAGCAGGAGCAGGTACTGACAAAGAGCTATTGTTCTGTTCTTCCTACACTGATGATGCTCAGATCATTCTCGGGGAAAAGTGAGGTCAATTTTTTACAAAGATGTTATTTGGACAGGACTATTTTAGAATTTTCGTGATAACACCATTTTAAAAAAATGAGCAGAGAGGGCTGGCTGGATAGCTCAGTGATTGAAGCGCCTGCTTAAGCAGATGCCGCCGGCCTGGGATTCTACCCCAGTGTGCCAGGCCGGCCCCACCCCGAGGGTGTGCTGAGAACCCACCGAGACTGGACGTGGTGGCACCCGCCTGTAATGGCAGCACCGGAGGCTGAACACAGGAGGACGGCTGCGACGAGACCCTATAGACCCTGTACTAAACGCATTAAAAAAAAAAGCGCAGAGGGCAGGCTTCAGTCCACAGGAGGCCAAAAGCTGCTCTCCAGGCGTGGTGACGCACACTCATGATCCCTGCACTCGGGAAGCTGAGGCAGGAGGATCACTGTCAAGTCCAAGGCCAGCCTGAACCACAGAGCAAGGCACTGTCTAAACTAAAACAAAGAAAACCCAAAACCTCAACTCCACTGCCCGACACCCAGCAGTGCCTGCACATTTGGAAGAGCAGTTCTGAGTGTCCTTGCATTTGCAGTCGCTGTCCTGTGACTAAAACACAGATGCCAAGAAGCTCTGAGCCAAAGCCGCCAGGACCCCTGTGCCAATCTGAGCGAGGTCTCCTACCCTCTGGCCTGCAGCTCCTGGGAAGCTTGGGGTGAGTCCACCCCCCGCCAGTGCCCACTGACACACTCACGATGAGACGGCATCTGCTACGTCTTCCTAACCAGAGAGCAAAAATAAATACCACAGTCCCAGCGGAGAGTGAGTGCCTGGCCTCTGGCTGCAGTCAAGAAGGACAAACATGTCCTGGTGCCTGGGAGAGCAGCTGGGCTCACCTGCAGGTGGGCGCCACAGCTGGGGCAGGGAAGCTGTCCGACGAGGGCGCCCCCTGCCAAATGCGGGCTGGAGTCAGTGCGCAGGGGTGCCCCTGCAGCCGCCCAGGTGGGGAAGCTCTGGACCTCTTCCCTCACTGGCAGTGCAGCTCTACAGATCCAGGCTGGAGCCTTGATCTCCCTACTGGCTCCCTGTGGGGGTCAGACTATATCCCCCTAGAAGATGGAAGTCCCGCACCGTCCCTGTGAACGAGGCCCTATCTAGAAACAGGGTCTCTGCAGGTACAAACTGCAGCGATGTACCTGAAAGCCAAGAGCACCGGGCACCAGCCACAGCCAGGCGCCGGAGCAGTGAGGAGGCTTCTGACGACTCCCAGGGCAGGAGAGCACCGGCCCCGCTGACCCCGACTCCAGTTCCCACCCCAGAGCTGAGAGAAGCCCAGTGTCTGCTGCCGTAAGCAGCGCGGTTCACGGTGCTTTGGTCCAGCAGCCCTCAGCAGGGATGTGCCCACACCCAGTCTGGGGCCTTCCCCGGGCAGGAAGTCGGGGCACATCGTACAGCCCTCAAGCATCCTCAGGCACATGGTCTTCACGTTTAGCTTTCTAGCAACCATCCCCAACTACTAACGCGCTAATACTTCATGGGCCAGTGCAGGACGCCAGGCCTAGCTCCAGGAGGCAAAGGGAAGGGAGCGGAGACATTCTCCATGTCCTGAGCTGACCTTTCATGTCCTCAGCAAAGCTCAGCTGTGTGGCAACCACTGGGGACAGGAACCAGGTGGTTATCAAGCTGTGCGCCTGCACACGGACACCTGCGCCAGTGCAATGCAAACCTGGGAGCCACATGCAGCTGCCTCTCGCCACCCCTTTCCACATGCGCCCCGTGCTCTCCATGTAAGCACTCCTGGGTTCCCTGTCCCTGTGCTGTGAACCGACACTGAGGGCACCCGAGGCCTCCACATTCCCCTCCGCCGTTCACAGGTGTCACTTTCCAATCTGCTCTCTGGCACCAACAGTGAAGAGGCAGACCACACCAGTCACCCAATTCAGCAGTCCCGGTGCTCTTTCTGGGCTGAGTGCCATTAGTAACTGAATGCCAAGGTCATTTAGGAGACAGGAGAGGCAAAGATGTAAGGCACTTCTGTGAGTTGTTCTCATGGTTTCTTAACCATCTGCTAGCACAGCAGAAGTCTCTAGCTGGTACCAGGAGCAATGAGTACGGACAAAAGCAGATCTCACTTTGGAGCCCAGGCCCACCACCCTCCAGAGACCAGAAGGAAGGGCACCCGCGACCCACCTCTGCACAGACGGGGTGGATCCCGATGGTGCTGTCCAGCTGCCGCTTGGTCAGTCCACACTTGAGTGCGGCCGCGAAGCCCTGTGTGACCTCTCCAGCATTGGGCCCCAGCACATGGAAGCCCACGACCCGCTCCTGTGGCAGAAGAGAAAGGAGTGTCAGCCGGCTGGTGTTCTCATCTCTTCCCGTCAGCTTAAACACTGCCCTGTGGGCACGAACGCCCAGCCTGGAGATGGGTACAGACTACAGGGACAGAGAGGACCAGACGGCTGCGAGTTGTGAGGAAGACGACGTGAAAAGAAACCCGTCTGTTGCTCCTTAGCCACTAAGTGTCCCAGAAAATGTTACTGGACGGCAGAGGTGTCCTGTGTCCTTTGGCCTGTTGTCTCAGCATCACAAAATCTGTGATAACTGTGACACTTCAGAGCAGTTGCTCATAAAAATCATTTAACTAAAAACTTGCAGGTAGAGGGTGCCGGGGAGATGGCTCAATAGAATAAGCACGTGCCTGGCAAGCGCAAGGGTCTGAGTTCAACCTCCGGTCCCACCAAAAGAACCAACCAACCAACCAAACAAACAAACAAACAAAAACTTTGCAGGTAGAAAGAGACGTTGGGTACACTGGACCCTTAAAACACTTCTTTTTGAAAGCAGAACATGCCTGGCAACTCTGAAATACATGTCTGGGAATCATTTTGGACAGACTTAATCCCAAACTCAGGCAATATCTGCCAAGAACAGAGGATGTTGGACCACGCTTCTGTCAGCCCTCAGATTTCCTCCCAGAGCCGCCTCGGCTAACCAGACTGGCCTGACTGCCTCCTACGGGCTTCAGTAGGCTACCAGGAGCACAGCCTGCCGATATGGCGGCCGCTTCCTGGAAACGGCTGGAAAGGCCACTCTGCTGCCAATGCACGGTCAGAGCCCATGGCGCACAGTCAGGGGCTGTGGGTATGGACCAGAGACGGCACATGGCGAGTGTGGCCACACTACAGAGATACTGGGCTTGCACATCATAGTGTTGGAAAAGCTAAAAATATTCGGTGAGTTGCAAGGGTCTAAGTACCGAGGATGACATTCTCATTAAAGCACAATACACTCTGATGTTTTAAAAACATGAACAAGACAATCCTGCCTCTGGAAAGTGAAGCAGTAAAAAAAAAAAAAAAAAAAAACCAAAAAAAAGGGCCCGGGAGATGGCTCAGTAGAATAAGCACTTCCCTGGCAAGCGCAAGGGTCCAAGTTCAATCCCCAGTTCCGCAAAAAAAAGAAAAGAAAAAAGAAAGTGAAGGAGTGTGAGACCACCGCCCGGGTTCTAGGTTGCCTGTGAGTGCAGGCCAGCTCTGCCACCAACTCAGTGAGTGGCCGCCAGTTACCCGACTGCCTTGGGGACAGCGAGGGCACACACCTCACAGAGCCCGGTGTGAGGACAGGGTAAGTTCATGCCCATTCGTCCATCGTTAAGTAAGCTGAGTCCACGGAGACTGCAAGCGCCTCGCGCTCAGCAGAGCCACAGCAAGCTCAGGCTCCCACAGGACGCAGCTCTGCAGCACACACTGAAAGCAGGGAACGCCACTGAGTCTGCTTGGGGATCTCTCCCTTTCTTCACATTTATTTTAAATACATTAGGATAAAAGAGAAGACAAGCTGGTGGACAATAAAGTGCTACACAAACCCAAGGGCCTGCAGACCCTGCCGCCAGGCAGGAGGGTGCGCGAGGACGGCCAGCACGGCCACACCAGAGTCCTGCCCCAGACCCCTGGACAGAGAAGCCCCGCGCAGCTGTCTCTGCTACAACTGGTTACTGGCAACACAATTTTTTTTCCCACATTATAATAAGCAATACCACTCACATAAGTACTAGAACAGTGAGGAAGAAGAGGACAACACAGCCAAGTCAGGATGGCTTTGCCTGGCATTACAGGGGCTTTCCTGAGGGTCCCCCGAACATCTGTGCGACTGCAGCCTCTCTCCACAGGCTGGCACTGACGAAAGGCGACCACCTTCTAGTAACGTGTTGTATGTTACGGGTCGCTTACAGCTGATGGGAGAGACTGCTCTCTGCAGGGGCACTGCTCATCACAGCTGGTCCCAGCAGACCCATTAAAGGCCCCAGTGGTGACATTCTCTTCTGAGCGGATCCAAGGACTGTGCTCTAAATGCTCAGCTCCACAAAATCAATCTGCAACTGCCCTTGTGCTTATGGCAGTATTCACTTCACAGGACATAAGGCTTATTTATACTAAGCTTCAAGACTAAATAACACTGTTAGGCTTTTTTTGGTGGAACTGGGGATTGAACTCAGACCCTTGTGCTTGCCAGGAAAGTACTTATTCCACTGAGCCATCTCCCTGACCCCTAAAATTCTGATGTTCTGTTATTTTTTGTGGGTTTTTTTGCAGAACCAGGGATTGAACTCAAGTCCTTACGCTTGCCAGGGAAGTGCTTATCCTACTGAGCCAGCTCCCTTCCGTTAGGCTTTTGACACAGGGATTCTTTAGCATTATTTATGTTTTTACTGAGGGCATTTCTAAAGGCAATATGAGATGGTATGGCTGTGCACGCCTGTAATCCCAGCACTCAGGAGGCTGAAGCAGGAGGATTGCCATAAATTTAAGGCCAGCCCAGGCTACACAGTGAGTTCAAGGCAAGCTTAAACTATACAGCGAGACCCTGTCTCACAAAAAAAAAAAAAAAAAAAAGTTAATATGCCAGTGAGTTAAACAGTTCCCACAGATTCAGTAAAACGCTAAGGGAGCGCACAAACAGATTACAGCATGTAACGCGCTTCTTGCTGACTGGCAGTGCCAGCGTCAGCACACGGCTTACACAAGCAGCTGGCCCACAGGCGCAGGCACTAAACCACACGGCAGCAGCGGCAGCCCGGCCACGAGCTCCTCCCGCTGTGGCTTCCTCTCTGGCGCCAGCGGCTGGGGCTCACACTGCGCTGCTCCTGCTCCCTGTGCATTGTCATTTCTAGACAGTGATAAATGGCCCCCAGAGCTCCTTGGGCTCCTGCCCTGCATGAGTGCTGGCTGGACGCAGGTGCCGTGCAGGGCCTGTGCCAGGCGGTGCCCTCTGTGATGTCCACACGGGTGTGCTGACAGCAGAGCTGCAGCTGAAAGCTAGCCCAGCCCCAAGGAGGATGAGGCGAGCGCTGCACTCACATTGTCCTGAAGGTTACAGACGACCTTTGCGTAGCATTTGTTGTTGTCTCTGGACGGAACTGTCCATTCCAATGGCCAGAAGAAGCTGTGGTAGACCTAAGGAGACACAGCACAGGCCTGTCACTTCCTGAGTATGCTGTTGACAGAGGCCACGTGGGCCACATCAGGCCCTGCAGCACTTAGCCACCTCAGCAACGCAAGTCACAGAGGACCTGGGCAAGGGCCTTGCCATCAGGCACTTCTGCTATAAGCACATCCCCTACTTACCTCTCAACTTCAAAGAGTAATGCAAAAGAGGGAGAGAATGGAAGAAGACAGCAGCGTAATTACTGCCTTGCCTTAAAAGTAACGCCAAGAAGTCAGTACCACCTTACTGCCTCACAGGGCTGCCAACTTTCGGCCGGCAGCCACAGGGAGCCGGGCACAAGCACAGTGGCTATCTCGGTGCTGCTCAATGCCGGCCGGGGAAATTTCCTCCTTCGGCTTTACTTTATTCACCAGGGCACCACAGGGACACGGAGGGCGACCGACACCCTTCCCCAGGGTGTGGGCTCAGCTCACACAGCGCCACCGCTGCCCTGAAGCAAGTGCTGTGCTGATGTGGGCAGTGTTCTGTGTAAAACTTTTTTATAACTGTGCATTACAAAACGAAACACGTGGCACCACAGAATTGCAATGATCACATAGGAAAGAGGGAAAAAGATGACGCCAGCCGGTAACAACCACTGGGTCACAGGTACAATCTCAGGGTTGCTCGCTTCCCTTAAAATTTTCAAAATTTCTTCAGCTCAAACACCTAACTGTTATCAATGAAAATGATAAATTTCTAAAAAACTAAAAATTATCTGTCAAGAAATATGATCTATCCAGAAACTTAAAATTTAAATAGCTTTGATAAACAATCTACTCTAAAACTAATTAGAGAAATGGACAATGTATTACAAAGATATTCAGTGATCTATTTGTAATTGTTGAAAACTATAAATAACCAAAAAAGGGTTTAACAATTATCCTTGAAAGGAACGACTACATATTTTTTTTTTAAAAAAAAAGTTGGGGTTTTTTGTTTGTTCTTGCGGTACCAGGGATTGAACTCAGGACCTTGCACTTGCCAGGCAAGCACTTATTCTACTCAACTATCTCCCCGGCCCTTTAAGTGGTACTTTTAGAGAATTAAAGTACAAGGAAAATGTTCAGAGCATGATAGGAGTGTAGGACAGACAACTTCAGGCAGCTTCAGCACACTTACAGACTCATGAGTGTGTACCTACCCCAAACTAAAACACAACACAATAGAAAAACTTGTACAGGCTAAACATCCTAATATAAAAATTAAAATGCTCAAATCCAATGATTTTTAAACGTGCATCAGTGTGAGGTCACCCCCCAGGAGCAGAAAACTCCACTCCTCCAACACGGGTGCATTGAAAATGCTGCACTAGATTATCCTCGGACTTCGTGAGAAAGGGGCGCATGAGACGAGCCAACTTCACGTTCAGTCTTGGTGCAGTCCAACAATACCGCGTAGGGGCCGGGGAGATGGCTCAGTAGGATAAGCGCTTGGCTGCCAACAATATTGCGGTATGCAGACCAGACGCAAACATTGCAAAAGCAAAAATCAAACCTGAACTTCAAGACACTTCTGGTCTGAAGAATTTTGGATTAATGGATACTCAACCTATAAAATTATTGGGATTAAAGCCTAAAAGGAAATATGCAAAAACACTAACAGCAACTACCTCTTCATGTGTTAAAATTTCCTTTTTAATGTTTTCCTAATCCTTGCAACTTTCTACAATGAAAACACACAAGAAAAAAGTCACTGTGTTCCTAGGAGACTAACATGACATGCTAATATAACAGAATTTAATAAGGGAAAAATATAAAATACTTGTATCATAAAGGTGACTTTGATTCACAAATGTGGTTACTTGGAATATTTCATTGGAAGTTTTTCCTCCCAAATGATTTAAAAGGCATCAGTGGTTGTATGTATAAAAACATTCGTGGAAGGCTGCGGCAAGAGGATTACTGCGAGCTCGAGATCAGCCCGGGCTACAACAAAGTGAGCTAAAGCCAGCCTGAACTCCACAGTGACTCCCTAAAAAAAAAAAAAAAAATCCAGCCCACTCTGCACCTTCCTTAACTACATTTGGTAAGAGGTGAATGGTGGGGTCAGTATAAAGTAGACGGGAATGGTAGACGCAAGACTTGAGGTCAGCAGGAGCACTACAGCTAATCTGTAGTTTTCATTTTGGGTA